TTTTTTTTTTTTTTTTAAGATAGGGTCTCACTGTATAGTTCAAGCTGGTCTTGAACTTCACTATGTAGGCCAAGGTGGCTTCAAACTCAGTATACTACCTTGTGCCACACCACCCAGCAGAAATTTACATCTTTTGACATTAGTTACAAGTGATGGAAAGACTAATTTTAAAAAAGAGCTACCATTAAAGCAAGGCCAAAAACAATACATTGCACAGATCCTGGTTTTTAAATACCACTTGCCAGTAAAAATATTAAGAAATGGTTCATTTTAGGGACTTGTTAGGAAAAAGGATGGTGGTGTCATAAGCACAACAGTCTCACACATTCATACGCACACTGCCATAGCAACACATCTACTAAATTGGAATAATAAGACATTATTAGCATGGATGACCTACAAATTAATATTTTGTGTTTCTGTGAATTTTGCATTATGTGTGTTTTGCCATGGTGAAAAACTGAACATATCATACCAAAGAGACACAGGAGCCAACTTAAGAGCCAAAATTGTAGTAACTGGGTTGTTGTACCCTATTGACAAAATAATTATCCATGAGTTACAGTGGTACAAATAAACAATTCATGTATTTATTGACCTATTTTAGCACTCTCTGTGTGTGTGGTACTAGGAGTTAAACTCATGACCTCATTGAGCTACATCCCTGCCTCCTCCTTGTATTTTGAGACAGGGTCTTCTTAAGTTACTAAGTTACCCAGTCCAGCCATCTCCTTCCTCAGCCACCCAGAGAGGTAGGATTATAGGAGTGTGCCACCATGCCCTGCCAAGGCATTAGCAAACATGAAAAAAATACCATTTTCAGTACAATGCTGGACTCATCAATATTATTTTATAAGCACCATAAAGTGAACTAGGAGGCAGCACACCAATTCCAGCTACTATACAGTACTTGAGAGGTAAATGCAAGAAAATCACAAAGTTTGGGCCAGCTGGGAAAATTTGGGAGACCATTTCAAAAAATGAGTGAAGGCAGAGCTGGAGATGTAGCAGTGCCAGGGATCTTGTTTAGCATACTTCAGGCCCTGGGTTCAGTCTCCAGTACCACAAACAAAAGAACTGTTTCTCACAGAAGAATTGTAAGTAATATGAGTAGAGACATTCTACTCTTCAAAAGGTGGAGCTTAACAAACAAACAAAAACCCAAAAAGGTGGAGCTTAATTACCTTGATTCATTTTGAGTTGCACTGGATTTACTGACTTGTCGAATTAGAGTATGGAAAGAAAAGGAGTAACTTTTTAAAAACCTGGAAAAGACAATCTTAGGAGACCAAGGTGAACATCTGCAGTGAAAAGTCAGTGATAGCATGTACCCTCAGTGTGATGTGATGAAAGGGCACTTTATCTCTCGTGTTCTTTCTCAAACCCACAGCCCTCAACCAAATCCTGAGAAAACATCAGACAGATATAGATTGGAGGCATTCTGTATATTACCGACCAGTTTCTTCCAGAGTATCAAGGTCATGAAAGGCAATGAAAGACTGAAAAACACAAAGAGGAAACTAAGGAGACATGATCACTTAATGCATTGTATCCTGGATTGGATCATGGAGCAGAGAGAGTATTAGTACAGTAGCTGGTAAAATCTAAAAATAAGGAGTTAATGATGTACCAATGCTGATTACTGAGGGGTTTTTTTGTACACATGTATAAGGGTAGTAGATATTAACATTAGGATGAAGGGTACACAAAAATTCCAAATTACTTTTGCAACTTTTTTTGCAAATCTAAAATTATTCCAAAATTACATTCATATACAGTAATTTTAATGGCCAAGGCTTGTCTAACTTTTGTAAACGGAACATTTTGATTTTTAAAAAGCTTGTAGATAGAGAAAAAATATTCTACAGGTCGTTTTATGCATCTTGTAAAGTCTTGGGTTCTAAAACTTCTACACTAAACAATCTCCCTGTCTATACAGGAAGATGACAGGGAAGTTTCCTAACTCTATTTAGTTTAGGGTTGAAAAGAAATACCAAGTTTAAAATTAAATTCTAGGCTTCATTGTATCCTTTTTTTTTTCTTGGTACTGGGAATCAAACTCAGGACCTTGTGCTTGTCAGGCAGGCACTTGTGCCACTGAGCTATATCCCCCCAACCCCATATTTTTATCTTTAAGAGTAAAAAATCCTAACGCACATTTTGATTTTAGATCATTAACAAATTTTTAAAACAACTGCACTTCAAATTAGATAAGGTAGTTTATGATTGGAAAATTCAATTCTCATACCAAACAAATGCTTTTTTATCTTAAACATCTTGTATTCTTGCGTTAAACTTAAGGGATACTTTTTTCTTTTTTTTTTTTCTTTGAGGCAGTGCCTCACTATATAGCCCCAGCTGGCCTTGAACTCAAAGTGATCCTCCTTTCTCAATCTCCCGAGTGCTAGGATGTAGGCATGTGCCACCACAACCAGCAATACTTTCATTTTTGCAATTCATTTTTTAAAAATGACTTAATTTTTCCTAGTAGTATAGGAAAATGTTGCAAATATTAAAAGGGTAGTTATAAAGTCTGGAAATAGGGACAGATGTATATAGTAGTTTGTTAATATTATAGTTCGTAATAAGGTTATAGATATGTGTGGTAATCCTTACTAGCAATGGATGGTCCAGTGCACTGTATCAAATTGCAAAGAATATAGTTTGCTTGTTTATGTTTTGCAATACTGATGATTGACTCCAGGGCCTTCACACTGAACTATTATCCCCAGCCTTTTTAAAAAAATTTTTGTTTTGAGACAGTCTTTTAAGTTGCCCAGAGTGGACTCAAATTTATGATCCCTCCTGCCTCAGTCTCACAGTGTGCTAGTTACAGGTGTATACCATCATGTCTGACAGAAAAAGAGTTTATTAATGCAGCATTTTCATCAGCTCCTGTACATGTCTATATGATTTACTGTTTCAGATTATTTATGTCAGTTATTTTCACTGAATAAATCTGTGCTTTTGGCATACCCCAGTATAAAGTAATTAAACAAGTTCAAACTAAGAAAGAAATCTGTATTTCCAGACTTTGTAGCTACCCTGTAACTTATTAATAATCTGTAGTATTTTAAAATACCTACTTTTGTATTGTCCATAATTTTTAAAAGACAGTATTACCATATTTGCTTCAGATTCTTTGCTTCTGTGTTACTTTTTTTCCAGGGAGGGGAGTTGAGACAGGGTCTTGATATTAGTTCAGGCTGGCTTCGAACTTGTGGCAGTCTTCCTGCCTCAGCCTCTCGAGTTCTGGGATTACAGGGATATACCACCATGCCCAGTGTGTGCTACATTTTAAACTCAGTATTTTTATTTTTTCAAAATGTAGAACTATAAAAACTAGGCACTACAAAGCAGTTATTTAAGAGTAAGACTATATTATATCTGTATATAATTCTTCATTGTGAAAAAGGTACACAGTATAAAAATACACATTGTAAATCCAAGATACTGCCATTAGGAGCTGAAATTGTACCTTTTTTATGGCACCATTAGTACTACTACATTTAAGGTAAATTCTTATCTTCGCAATTTGTATCCTCACAAATCTTAAGAGTGGCAGAGTGGAAATTACCTGGGTATACCTAATGTCACCCTAGTCATCAATAATGATGCAGTTTGACAGTATTTAGATTCTGATATTTCTATTTAATTGTGTGACCATGACGTTAGTTAACCTAATTGTACCTCACTTTCCTCATCTATAAAGTACTAATAATGTACACTTTAAAGATGTGTGCAGTAAAAGGGATTAATAGATATAAAGCACTTAGAATACTTGGCACGTGATACTCAGTATTTGCTAACTGCTTTCCAAATACACTATCAGCACTGTTACTACTTTCACCTTTTGTGATTTCCATAGTTTTTTATTTTGTGTTTTGACTTCTATAATGTAAGAATATGAAATCCTTTCAAGAAAAATTTTTGGGATTTATGTTTAATTGAACTGATAACAGACTGTCATGAATAGAAAAATTGGTCAGTAGTGCAAATAGATTTATAAATAAATAGAATATCCTCTTGGATTTTCTGATGAAGCAGCAGTGCTTTTAGAAGCTTTTATTTAGCGCAGAAAAGTAATTGTAGCTCCCTAGTCTGTTACACTCTGCAGTTTTACTCATACAATGCTTTTATTCCACAGCTAGGTACAAGGCTTTTGCTTTTTCCCAAAATTAGTAGGTTTGGGACTTACATGGATATAGTATTTAGGACATTTAGCTACTAAGAATTATATTTAAAACATTGTGTATGAAATTTGACAAAGTAACTTAATATTTTAAGACGTGGACATGGTCGCATGTACCTATTGTCCTAGCTACTTGGAAGGCTGAGGCAGAAGTATTGTTTGAGCCCAGAGAGTTTGAGGCCAGCCTGGATAACATGGCAAGACCTGTCTCAAATAATTTTTAAAATAAAATTGTGACTATTACAAAAGGATGATAATCTGAATTTATTTTTATTCAACTGTGCCTTTTATGGGCTCTGATAGATTGATAATCTGAGTAAAACATTGTTTATTAGGGATCTCATTATGCCTTAAGCCTTAGTATATTTATGTAATGCGGTTTAACCTTCTGATTTTTGATTTTCGTTTTTTCCTTATGGAACTGAGGATTAAGCCCAAGGCCTTTCTCATGCTAGGCAGATACTCTGCTACCAACCTACATTTCCATCCCTTTTTAAATTTTGAGACAGGGTGTTACTGAGTTACCCAGGCTTGTCTTGAACTTGTGATACTCCTGCCTCAGCCTCCCAAGTAGTTGTGATTAGAGTGCCACCATAATCCAGCTGCGGTTTTACTGTTTTATAGTATCATTTTATATGATGAAGCTGTGATTTACTTTTAATAAATTTATTGTAAGTATCCCCTTAACTTTTTTATTTTGAAAACTGCATTTCTTGTTTGAGTAAACTATATAAATTTCCTTTTCTAGGAAAGAATACCCACCTCATGTCCAAAAAGTTGAAATTAATCTTGTAAGGTTAAGTCGACCCCAGGGTGTTGGTAAGTGTGCAGTTTTGTTACACTTGTGAAGGGTTTTGAGTTGTGCATGAAAGGTACAAATAAAAATAAGACTGAGTTGAGAATGTTCCTACCTATAATAGAAATACGTACAAAAAATTTTTTTGGTAAGTGATTTGAGAATTTTAACTTGTGATACTGGTAAGGTGATTGAAGTCCGGTGAATAAATTTGAAATCACAAGTCTAATGAGTACAGTTTTTGTTTTTAAAAAAATTGAACCAGGCATGGTGGCGCACACCTGTAATCCCAGCACTCGGGAGGCTGAGGCAGGAGGATCGTTGCAAGTGCGAGACCAGCCTGGGCTACAAAATGAGCTCAAGGCCAGTCTGAGCTGCATAGTGAGACCCTGTCTCAAAAAGACAAAAAAAAAAAGGAATAAAATAATTGAGTGTAGAAGACCTGGAGCTGTATTACAGTGTTATCTTTTTCAGTTAATGATTTTATCCTAAATTTAGGGTGCATTAAGGAACTAAATTAAAATGAGGACATACCTGATGAAAAACTGTTAATAACAGATGTTGGAAAAGTAGTGTGAATAGAAATATATTTGTAAAAATTATATATATATTTATATATGGAATACTAGGTTTTGTGGTGAAACAGTTTTCAATAAACTCATTAATGCTAAAATAAGAACAGGTGACATTTATGAAAAATATTTCACTATCAGATTGATTCCTCATGTATATTCTCCCTGTCTTCCCCAGGAATTTGCTTGTTTAAAAGGTTCTAATGGCTCTTAGTTCCAAAATGTAATGATTTTAAATAGCTAGGTTTTCTTAATAGCTAAGAGTTTGTTTTGTGACACAGTCTTATTTTCTGCTGTTGAGTAAAAATCCTTTGTGCATATGTTGGACATATTCCTATATTACAGGTAATTGTCGAAACGTTATCCTTTCTTTTTGCAGTCACTTTGAATATGAATTATTATACTTTGCAGGACATAATTTAACTTGTGTTTATGAAGTTTAGTGATAGTGACTGACTTTAACATTCTGTTGCACTATCTCTATTAAGCTCTTCTTCTGTACCAGATACTAAGTAAATAGTGAGTAAGTAGTCATTATTTACTGTTCTCCTATCCAAAATCCTTACAGCATAAATTGATCTTTTTCCTGTGTTCTGCACAGAGGATGAAGCTGAGGCTCAGAGTGACTAAATGTAATTTGCTCAAACATACAAAGCTAACAAATGGTAGAGCTGGTATCGGAACCTAGGTCTGTTTGATGCCAAGTTCTGTGCTTTTAAACATCACTTCTCAGCCTTTTGGCTAAGATCAAGTGTAACCACTATATTTTATTATTTTCTTTATTCAGTCACATAGAAAGCCATTTTTAATCCTCAGAATTATGCAAGTATTATATCCATTTAACAAATGCATTTCAGAGAGTTTAAGTGGTAGAGATTTAGATACTGACAGTTCAGACAGTTTTGCTATAAGTTACTAATTAAAGACCATTCATGAGGTAATAGTCTTAATCTTTGTTGTTGTCAACTATTTTAAAATAGTGATACCTCAGTTGTAGAACTCAGTTTATTCCAAATTCATGTTCAAACACTGAAAAGTTTGAGAACTGAACATATGTTTCCCATAAGAAATTATTGAAAAGCAAATAATTTTTTCTGAGACCCAAAAATTACACTTATAAATTCATTTTTCCAGGGTTTTAACAAATTTCACAGTGATTCCTTTGACTATTGAGGGCCTCACGGTTTTTCTCTTAGCGTTACTGCTGGGATTACTCACTTTCTTTGGAGCCATAGATATATTTTATGCAAATAAAGTGCAAAAAATAAAATACAAGCGCTATATGATGTCTGGGCAAGAATGATGCTTAGACTGAAGTGTCACCCTTTTGTGTCCGCAGTGAGATGCAGCAAGTGTGAGTCACTCTCAGCCCATACAGGTTTTTTTATGTCTGATTTTTGGTTGGCCTATCAAGCAAAGTTATGAACACCAAGCAATTTTTTTTCTAACTTTGCCATTCGAGTAACGGAAAGTTTGAGCTTGGAGCCATTTGACAACAGAAGTATTGCTGTAATTATAGGCTTACAGAAAAGTTCCAAAACTAGGACAAAGAGATGACTTGGTGTCCTTCACTGAGCTTTTCCTGATGTGAACATCTTTTTAATAGACAGTACATTTATCAAAACTAAGAAATTCTTAACTAAGCTATTTTCCTTGTTCATAATTCATCAGTTTCTTACTAATGTCCTTTTTCTATTCCAGGATCTAATTTTGGGGTCCCCACATTGTATATTTAGTGTCAGCTTTTTTAGTTTATTTCACAATTTTGAAGACTCAGTTGGCTGCTTTGTGTAATGCCTCCTCCGTTGGGTTTGATGATGTCTCACTGTGAGATTGACTGCATTTTGACAAAACTTACAGAAAGGATGTTGTACCTCCTCTCAGTGAGGGATACCAAGGATTACATGACATTCATAATACCTTGCTCCTGGCAATACATACCTTGATCCCTTGGCTAAAGTAGTTTTTGCTGGATTTCTTCACTATAAAATACTGTTTTTCTGTTGGTACATAATAAAGATATTAAATGATGTACTCCAAGACTATATAATTTTTCTGCATTTCCTCAAAGGTTCACCCACTGATTGTATTAACATCCATGGTGGGAGTTTTTTTTCTTTTGGCAATACTGGGGATTGAACTCGGCCTCACATATAGTAGGCAAGGGCTTTATCACTGAGCCACATCCCTAGCCCCCCACCTTTTAAAATTGAAATAGGATCCTGATACAATCTCTAGGCTGGCCTAATACTTGAGATCCTCTATCCTCAGTCTCCAAGTAGTTGGAATTAGAAATACGCACAACCGCTCCCAGCTTAGTAGTGGGTCTTGCTGGCAACAGTTACTGTTTGATGCTTGGCTAATGGTCATTTTCTGTTTTCATCTCTTATATTTATTAATTTTTCTGTAAGGAAGTGTTGTACCTCTCTACATGATTCTTTATATCTTTGAGCTGATGACTAATAAATGAAGTTTACATGGGCAATACTTGGCAGTCTTCAGGAAAGAGATGTGGGTATATTTAACTTGTAAACTTTTTTTTGAAAGGAAGAGAATTATATGAGATGCTGCATCTTTTATTTAAGTAGTCTGCCAAGAAAAGTGTATATCAGGAAAAGAAAACCTTGTACATATATTTTAATACTAAATTTATTGAGAAATCATGAGATTAATACAAGTTATTTTCAGTCTCTACAACTACAAGAGGTGCATAAAGTGATTCCCGTTAGCTTCCAGACATTTATTAGTATAGCAAACTGCTAGAGTGTATATACTTTTTTTTTTTTTGCAGACTCTGTACATAGAAGGTCAACAGAGCCCTCTCTTTTTAACTTCTTCTGTGTTGAGTAGGTGAATATATATTTGGATGTAGGATGATTAGCAATGCCATAATAATAATAAATATATTGTTTCATGAAGGTTGTAATTTGTTTTAGCATTTTCCATTGGATATCTTAGGAACACTAGTTACTGGCATAGTTCCTGGAATAGTTTTCTGTTTAAAAGAAATACTTGCCTTTCTGTTGTTCTTTTTTTTGTTGTTATTTTTTTATTTTAAAGAGTAAAAGAAGGACAACATGGCAATAGGGGGATTCACCAAATTACAGACAAAGTGGTAGGACATTATCAATGGTGGTTATTTTACCTATTGGTATCTTCAAGATAGTTTCTCAGGAAAACAAATAGACAGATGTCTTGGCTATTTTTGTTGTTGTTGCTGGAAAAAAATACTTTATGCCCAAAATTAAGGAAGGAAAGGTTTATTTTGCTTACAGTTTGTGGAGGTTTTAGTTTATACTTGGCAGGTTACAAGGCAGAGTAGCACAGGGCAGAGGGCTACAGCTCATGCCCACAGAACACAGCAAAAGCAACAACCACTCAAGGGAGGAATGGAGGCAAGCAGCCTCTTTCTCTCCCTTACGTATGTAAATTATCCACCCCAGGGCGGGTTTAGCTCTCACACCCATAATCAATCAAACTCTAAAAGCCTGGCCCATGACAGCATGAGGCTTTGATGGGGACACAGACACAAACCATAACAACAGATAAGTGAGTTACAGACAAAAATGCTAGGAAATTATCAGTGGTTGTTATACTATAGCTTGGTTTCTCAAAGTGGTCTCTTTGAGGGAAAACAAATAGAGCTATGCATGAGTGATCAATCAAATAATCATTGACTGTTCTCAATGGTTGTTGTTGAAAACACAGAGTAACAAACATACATCCATTCACGAAATAGCGTAGGAACAATACAAACATTGCAGAGTTATGGGCAGATTGGTAGGAAATCATCAGTGGCTGCTGCAATACATGTTGGCATCCTCAAAGTGGTTTCTCAGGAAAACACATGCAAGAAAGATCCAACAAGTTACAGCCCAAGGGTTGCAAAAAATAGCAGATTACCTCCTCATCAGTGACTCCCCTCATTGAGGTGTGACAGCTGGAAGGAAGGCCGGGACTGAAAAGAAGGACTGAGATACCAACACCAGTGTCCAGCAACAGGCCGTCCACTTTTTCCTCTCTAGTCATGATTTCACGGGGCTCCTCCTTGAAGACAGCAGTCCAGCCAGAGGGAGAAGGCAGAGTATGCCCTGGGCCCCCTTCATTCCTGCCGGACCAGCTGGTAGGAGGGGTCCGAGCCCAGGGGCCCCCACTCCAGAGGGCAGCCCGACCTCCAGTGGCCACTCCCACAGTCAGGGCATGGCCCAGGAGGCCTCCCAGGGCAGTCCCTCCTGAGGTGGCCCGGCCCCCAACAGCACCCCCGCAGGGCCCCAAGAACCAGACCCAGGGTCTGCCTCTCCCACTGCTGCATCAAAAGCAGCCGTCCCCTCTCGGTCTCTCTGCCCTCTCCCCTTGGCTTCCCCCTCGCCATGGTCTGTTGTTCTTACCGACCCAGATTGTTTTTTTATTCTATTTGCCTTCTTTATTTTGAATTTAAGTACTTGATACGAATTTTGAGAATCTATACACACAGATCAGCACTTATTTAGCAGTGGTAAAGTTTTATAGTTAAAAAACTAAAGCGTGCCAGGTATTTTAGCAGCACATCCCTATAATCCCTGCGCTCTGGTATACTGAAGCAGGAGGATCACAAATTCAAGCCAACCTGGGCAAGGTAATGACTCAGTGAGTTTCTGTCTCAAAATAAAACTGTCCCAGTAAGTTACTAAGTTGCCCAGGCTAGGCTCAAACTTGTATCCTCCTGATCTCAGCTTCTCAGTGTTGAAATTAACAGGTATATACCTCCATGTTTAGCTTGAATGCATTTTAATGTAATTATAGTATGTGATTATAGCTTGGTCTTTTGCATATGTACAGAATCCTCTCACACTCAAGGCAGGGCTGCTCATTATCATGTTAAGGTAGTATAACCTTTTGGACCTTTTCCATATGTGTATACGGTCAGTTCTCTTTACATTTATATAATGTACATTAGGTATTACAAGTAATGTGGAGATGATTCATAGTGTACAGGAGGTACATAGATTATGTGCATCCCATTTCATATAAGTTATTTGTGCATTTGCAGGTTTTGCCATCTTTGAGGGGTCATAGAACAAGTCCCTAACAGGTAGCAAGGGAGGACTACCCACCCATTTTTAAATACAATGTGTACTGTTATCTACATTGACTACTGTTATCTACATTGTATTATGAATTTGCTTGTTTTTAAGTAGGATCTAACAGATACATATTTGAGCAATTTTGTGTAGCTTACAGAGTTTAGTAAAATATGTTTATGAGGGAAAGGCATTCCTTTGTACACTAATGATTTCAGTAAGGCCAGAAAACTGGAGGGGAGAGGGTGTGTTTTGGGCTTTTGGTGGGTTTCGGTTTTTTGTTTTTTGAGTTAGTACCTCTCTGTGTTGCTCAAGTTGGTTTCTTATTCTTGGGTCAGTCAAATGGCCCTCCTACCTGAGCCTCTAAGTTGATGGAACATTGTGCCCTGTTTGGGTGGCTGTGGTTTAAGACTGCTGTGCTGCAGATTTCACACATAATTGGTATGTTTTGGGTAACTTTGTGTATTTTTTGCTTTCTAAAATACTGTCTCCATTTTTTTTTTTTTTTTTTACTTTTGCTACATTAGAGCACTTTAATAGTCACTTGTATAGAAATTGCTTTTTTATAACCAATTAAAGTAAGCTATCCCTCATGCAAATAACACCTGAATGTTCTGCATAGGCAAGGTCTCTCTCTCTCTGTAACCTCATATGTAAGATCTTGGGAGGAAAAAAGGAATATTTTCCAGTTCTACTCCATGGCTAGAGGCTAAGTTTGTAAGATTCTAAATCTGTGCATAAATCATTACCTCTGTGTGACAAAGGGTAAACCACCTTCAGAGATGGCATGAGGACGTCATGTTTTTCCCTCACTCATGTAATTTAATCTTTTGTATATGTCATAGTTTTGTCCCCGTCATGTGATTCGCTAATGCAGTAAACATGTATTTAATCCTTACCTTGTGCAGTCTCTAGATGCTGGGAAAACATTTGACTAAAATATTACTTCTGTTCTTTAAAAGCTATTACTAAGAGAAGCAGATCAGTACAAATAAATATAGTAAAATAAAATGAGTGCTTATGTAGGTACTGATAAAGGGTTAGGAAAGTTCCAGGATTGCTTATTGCACCAAGGGTGGACAGCGGCAGCTTCTTAGCAAAGAAAGTGTTGAATTCACCAGATAGATTGGATTGGCATTGCTTATGAAGAGAACAGTGTGTTTATGTGGGTAAAAGAGAAAACACCATGGAGAAATGTACCTCTTTGAGCTAAAGTTTGGAAGTAAGACTGAAGCAATATTATTAATTTTTGTTTGCCAAGATGAGATTTAGATTGTTTTTCACCTTAGCTGCTGGAATGAATATTTTAATTGTTAGAGTGAAGGCATATTTTTGTGTTAGAACACTGTGGCAGTAGTGGGGAAGTACTTTTTTTTTTTTTCTTTTCTTTTCTTTTTGTTTGGGTTTTGATTTTGGTTGTAGGAGACAAGATCTCCCTGTATAGCCCAGCTGATCTGGAAATTGATCCTGGCCTCAAACTCAGGATCCCCATGCCTCAGTCTCCCAAATGCTGAATTACAGGTGTGCACTGCCATACCCAGCTCCACAGTTATGAAGAATTAGAAAAAGAGCAAAAGTGAAGTTCAGTTTAGGCAAGAGTTAAGCATCTGAAATAGAAGATTAAGAGGGAAAAACAAGGAATAGTCCAGAGTACTTAATTTCTACCTTTGTTGTCCAGGAATATAAAGCCTCAAAAGCTAAGCAGTGGTAATCACTTAATGAGCCTCTGTACAGTTTCACTAAGTAAGAATGATTTTGTAGGCTTCTTAATGGAACTGAATATCAAAATAAATATTAAGTAATTTTTTTTCTTAAATGAGAAGAGAATATTAAAGATAGGAAATAGAAGTATGTAGCAAGGTTGGGATTATGCAGATAGGGCACTTAAATTTACATTGAAGGAATACAAGAATTTTCTTCTGTATTTATTAAACTTAAAAAACTGTTAGTCTGAATTTAGTTTAGTTTTGTTTAAACAGTTGCACCCAAAGTTTGAATTCAGATGGTTTTTTCCCTCATTGCTAAGGGTACATGTGTGGTTCAGTGCAGAAAGTGCTTCTGTGGTTTTAGTAGCACACAGTAAGCTGAAGAGAACATCAGTGTACATGATGGCATGTCCTGGAGTGTGAAGATCCTGCTAAGGAGCTAAACATATACAGTAGGAATCAGGACCTTTCAGCTGGCTTAGACTTGAAGTTCTGTTTATTTTTTATTGTGCATGTTGAAACACTAGTCTAACTAAAACTTAATATTTAAGAATATAAACTAGTGGGTTTTTTTAAAGCAAAGATTGAGGAATCTATTAAACTTAATTTCAATACTTTTGTTTCTTTCCCTTCCTTTAGAACGTATAATGAAGAGAACAGAACAGTCTGAATCACAAGTAGAGCCTGAAATTAAGAGGAAAGTACAACAGAAGCGGCACTGTAGTACATACCAGCCTACTTCTCTGTCTCCGGCTTCAAAAAAATTTTTAACCCATTTAGAGGTGGGTAGAGAAATATTCCTTGTCACTAATCAGGTGGAATTTTTTTTTTCCCCCGGTACCAGGTATCAAACTCATGACCTCGTGCTTGCCAGGCAGGCGCTGTGCCGCTGAGCTAAATCCCCAGCCCCTCAGGTGGAATTTTTATTAATAGTTTTTAGAGCTTATTAAATTCCAGATAATCTTTTATCATAGGACAAGAGAAAACCTGGAAAGTTATTTAAGCAAACTTTCCTATTGTCAGTAGACATTTTTTTTTTACACTGTTGAGTATCAAACCCCAAGATCACACTCCTGCCATCTAACTCACACTAGACAAAGCCACTTCAGCCAAATAATCATTATTTTAATCTGTCCAAAATACTGAATTTTTTTCTGAAAAAAAATTTATCATTGCATCCTTATAACACATTACAGATAATTTCTCTGCTAAAATTTTTTGAAATTGTTTTAAATTTACAGAAAGTTGGGGAGAGTAATAGAAAGGATATCCACATATTTTCTCCTCAAATTCCCATTTTCCACATTTGCTTTTTATTGTTTTCCCTCCCTTTTTCTCCCTCATGCATATATACATATATGCATCATTTAAGTGTAATTTGTAGGCATTACGCCCTCCTAACACTCCGTTTAATACTTAATACTTGTGTGTGTGTTTTGTGATTCTAATAAAAGGCAAGTTTTCAGCCTTCAGCATTGAAAAATAACCATTTGTTTGTCAAACTCCATTCAGATTTCTCATAAATGTCTTTTATGGGTACTGGATCCAATTCAGAATCGTATGCTACATTTAATTGCTGTGACTCTTTAGACTAAGTTTGGAATGATTGCCAACCTATGCATGGCTCAGGCCACACTGGCATCTTCCACTGCTTGGCCCAGGTGAGGGAGAATGAGGAAGGGGGAATATCAACACAGTGGCGTTGCTCCACTAGGCATACCAGCTGGAAACTTTGTCATTTTTTTAATGCCTAAAATAAAGCCATGTCAACTATTCTTATTTTTTCTTCACATTTGCAGTCTCCAAATCTTCACATTATGTGTTTCTTACAAGAACACAGTATCTTTGGATTTAATCCAGCAGAACATCTTGTGATGTAGTGAAAGTGATATTGTCTCTGTGATGCCTAATCAAAGACAGACTCCTCTTTATTAAATCTAATTGGTTGTGTGGAGAGTTATAGGTAGTTTGTAATATGTAATTTGTAACTCCCTCCCCAGGCCCACCTGCACCTCCCCGTGCTGAGGATCAAACCCTTGGCCTTGAGCCTGCTAGGCAAGAGCTTTTTAACACCGAGCTACACCCACATCTCCGTAATTTGATATTATTCAGTTAGTCAAAGTTTTTCTGTTGGGCCTGGTGGCACACACCTGTAATGCCAGCACTGGAGAGGTTGAGGTAGGAAGGTCACTGTTAGTTCAAGGACAGCCTGAGCTACAAAGTGAGTTAAAGGCCAGCCTGAACTGCATAGTGAAACCCTGTCTCAAAGAGACAAAAAAGACTTAAAAAAAAAAAGTTTTCCATAGACAAAAAAAGAGGAAATGAGATTTTAGTCTAATTTTGTTTTCAAAAGGAAATTATACTTCAAATAAAGTCCTTGTAAAAATTTACCACTTTTATATGTATTTTACTAAAACTAATTGAGCAGTATTAAGATTTTAGTTGACAAAATTCTTAATCATGAAAAATTTAATATTTTACTCAATTCAGCTGATTTGCATTTTTTTCCTAATTGTTGCAAACAGTTCCAAAAGTACATGTTTCTGTACCTCAATATTGGGAATTTTATAGTAAGGATGTACTTTTTCTGTTTCACTATCAGTTTTTTATTATAAAAGGAAATACCTAGAAATAGCTACTTTGCTGTAAAGTTCTTTTCCCTTAAATGTGTCCTGTTTGCCTTTATTATTGGGTAGTGTCAGAGTAGTCAGTACCCAGCTGGATGGCGTCCTCACACATCCTGCCTCCTCAGATTCTGAAGGACAGAGTTAGCTTATCCATAGCTGACTGCTGAAATAGGGAATGACACTGGCATCCTGATGCTAAATTCCAAGTAACGTGACTTTAATTTAGAGTCTCCTCCTAGAGAAATGATTTTTGAGGCATTTTTAAGGAAGTTACTTGATCTTTAAGTAAAATACCAAAATCTTTTATTTCTTTTGTTCTTTTTGGAACTTAAGGTTTCTGAACAACGTGAATGTTGCCCAAAATGTGGAAAAGAAAAAGAAAATCAGACCAAATGCCAAAGTTGTGGTATTATTTTTCGTAATGATTTGCAAAGAAATTGCAGACACACTGTAACTTTGAATGAATCTACTGGACCATTATTAAGAACGTCAATTCATCAAAATTCTGGAGGACAAAAGTCACAAAACACAGGATTAACAACCAAGAAGTTTTATGGGAACAGTGTGGAAAAGGTTCCACTTGATATAATTGTCAGTCATGATGACAGTAGACATAATTATTTACAGACTAATGGAAAAGTCATTTTACCTGGGGCAAAAATACCCAAAATCACGAAAGAAAGAAAAACAAGCCTGTCAGACATAAATGATCCAAGTAAGTGTTTTTGCTCTTTTTGTTGTTTTTTTTTCTGAGACTCAAATTCCTGGGCTCAAGTATTCTGCCTGCCTCAGACTCCTGAGTACCTGGGACTACTGTTGTGTGCTTCTACACCTGGGTTAATTTTGCTCTTTTAAATTGTACTGTATCAATCCAGTAAACAATTGGGGACTGATTGAATAAACTGTTGAATACATGGCTATAAAAGGGGGGAGGAGAGAGGTCTGATAAAATCCTGTGTAGAATGATTTCTAGGATTTTAATTAACTAATGCAAGCTGCAAACAAGATTACTTTATATGGGATGGGAAAATGAATACGGTTTTTATTTTTCTTAGGTTTTTTGGGGGACAGGACCTTGCAGTGTAGTTTGGGCTGGCCTTGAACTCACTGTGTAGACCAAGATGTATTGATAAAGCAAATAAATAGTTATATTATTGTCTTGTCACCAAATGAGGTTTGAGAAAGTCCCCCGAGGAGGTACCTCAACTCTCCCGGAGTACGTTTGTTGACTCTTTTGTTATATAAAGCATTTAGGGCCTATCAGTGTAGGTACAGGAGGATTTATCAGGCAGAATTAGAAAGTTAAAGAAGTCTAGCTTGAGCAGCATACTCTGATGGTGAGATTCAAACTGACTACTCAGCCTTTGTGGATTTGCAGGGTTGGGTCTGATAAGTCATTGTTTTAGTTCTGGTTGTGTGGCTCCGGAAGAGTCATATGGCATGAAGAGCAATTTGGTTCCCATACGGTGATTCTTGTGGGGGGTGGGGCATGGGTAATTTGTCCCATTTGGGGAGGTGACATCATGGAGTGATTTCACGTGGTCTGCTTTTCCTGGAACCCAAGGTAATTTTAGGTTTAGGAACAGTGACTGGAGACTTCTAGGAGTCACTCCAGTGAGTCTGGAATTGGACGCTGTAAAATCTGGCAATTGCATGTCCTTGAAAATTATTTTAGTTGTTCTCATCTTGGTGTCCTCAGTCCTAAAGGGGGTAAGATAGGCTAGGTAAATCTAAGGCTAGTACACCTTTCAATATAGGCACTGCTTAAGTTACCACTATGCCTTTGTGTAGAATTGAGCAGGAATCTAACCTAAAGTTTTAAGATAATAAAAGAGACCAAAAATTTGAAGGCAGAGATTATCCTCCTAGTTACCTATTGTTCATCTGCATGTCCAGCCTCAGGGTCTCTCTTACTTCCCCTTTGTCTGAGGAAATTAAGATATTGGCCAATCAGTCTTTATAAATTTTCTGATCGTAGTAAATTAATGGATATGTGAGAAGGAAACAATCTGAGTCTTAAGTTTTTGGAATGCCTGATCACAGGCCTCGCAACAAAGATATGGGTACTTGGGTGAATGTGATCAACATAAGAACTACAGTTTCCTAGGCTCTTTTGTACCTTTCTTCTATTCTACCTCAGTCTCAGTGTTAAAGAAATAGGACCACCTCCCCATGAGGGATGTGATTATGTACTGTAAACTTGTACTAATAAAAAATAAAAATTGAAAAGGAATGCAGAAGTAAAATGAAAGAAGTAAAAATTCATTAAGTTGAAATTACATTTGGCAATTATAGTGTAAATTTATTATGTACTTTATCTTAAGCATAAAATAGAAATTCCCTAGCTTTACCCAAAGAAAATATATACTTAAAGGAAATAGAAAAGAAATTAACAACTCTAGCTCCCTTAGTTGTGTATTAAAATGCCATTTTGTACTAAAAATAACTAGAGTTGCCCGAAGAAATACAGTAGGTTGCTCCAGATCTGGCATGAAAAACACGAGATAATCCTAGATCTGGCCAGAATTTGGAAGAATGGAAGCAGTCAAAAAGTATTACAAACTTGTCAAAAGAACACAGGTACCAAAATGAAATACTCCTACTTGACCAGTAATGGGAGTACTTGAGTCACAAAACAGTCATAATTGCTAGTCATTGAAATACTCAAATATATTAAAAGCAGTTCACTGTAGTCTTCCTGAACTCCCACAAGAAGAGGAGGTGGTAAGGGAAGGGTGGGGGAGAAAGGTCTTCATTAGTTAATGTATGCAATTTGCTTGAGGTTTCAAAGCATTATTCTGACAACTGGTAAATGATGGAGGAAATTGTGAATTTTTTTCTATTCCTCAGAAATATGTGCCAAGTTCTATTTTAATTCAAGTCAGTATAAAAACCTCAGACCATTACAGTGCATTAGCTTTTTTTCAGTAAGGAATTAACTGTATGTCAGCTGTCCAACCAACACACTTTGTTATTGATGAAACCAGGCCCAGTGGTACACACCTGTAATCTCTGCACTGGGAGGCTGAGGCAGAGGAATTGAAACTTTGAATCCCACTGGACAACTTAGTGAAGCCCTGTCTCAAAAAAATTTTAAATGAATAAACAAATAGGACTGGGGATGTAGCTTAGTGGGAGAGTGCCCCCTGAGTTTGATCCCCAGTACTGCAAAACACTGGATGTGAATGGATGGATGGATAGATGGATCAGTCTCCATGGTAGAGTGCTCCTGGATTTGATCCCCAGTACTGCAAAACACTGGATGTGAATGGATGGATGGATAGATGGATCAGTCTCCATGGTAGAGTGCTCCTGGATTTGATCCCCAGTACTGCAAAGAAAGAAAGTTATTTTGATGATATTACTTGCTAAATAGCTTACGATGCATTCTAGTGGTATTCTTATATAATAGTAAAGGTTAATATTAATATAGAGGAAAGAAACTCCTAACCTGCTAGATATTTGGTATGAGTTTGTGTTCCCTAAAATCGAAGAATGAATTTTAGGAACAGCAGAGGTTAAGAGCAAAATATATTTATTGCAGGAAAGAAAGCTTCTGTCAGAGAGAGAGAGATAGAAGGGTACTTGAGTGGGTTGCCAAGGAACCTGCCTTTTCTAGGGATTTTTATAGAGCAAATCTACAAGATGAGGAGGGTCCAAGGTGGGAAACATGGGAAATTGCAAGGTGGGCATGAGGTGGGACAAAACTATGGTCAACCAATAAGATGATGAGTGTAATTGCTTAGGTAAAATTAATTAAATTGGAATCAAATGGGGAAGCGAGTCATGTAGCAAGCAGACATGAATGCAGAACAGGGGCTTTTCCTATAGTGAGTTAGGTTAGTGGCTCTTCCTGGCTTTTTGAAGACTATTGATACCTGTTTAGACTATCAATCCCTGATGTTTATCTCTAGGGAGGTATGTAGATTCATTTATCTTTTGTCTTGAGATCTGGCCCACAGCTGAGGTGCCTGGCTGTCCCACATTTGCAAGGTGTCTTGTCTTCTCACACTAGCTCCTTCAAGGGCCTACCCCTATCTCACTGTCTATAATATTTCTAACTCAGTTGCCTACCACAGTATCATTTGAATCTTTCCTAAGGGTGAAGTGATTGTATTTTTTTTTTTTTTTTTTTTTTTTGGTTTTT